TTACTCACCCTCACACTTCTCATGGCCCACCTCTCCTTCTGTGGGCCCAACATCATCCACCACTTCTTTTGTGATGTTCAGCCCCTGTTAACGCTCTCCTGCTCTGACACGTCTGTCAATGAGCTGTTGGCCTTCACCGAGGGCTCCTTGGTGATCATGAGTCCCTTTATCTTCATTATTATTTCTTATGTCTACATTGCCCGGGCTGTTCTGCGGGTCCCTTCGGGAGGAAGTACAAGGTCTTTTCCACCTGTGGGTTCCACCTCACGGTTATGGCTCTGTTCTATGGGACCATAATATCGGTGTACATAGCCCTTCATCCGCCTACTCAGTGACAAAGGACCGTGTGGTCATGATCATCTACACAGTGGTCACCCCCCTGCTAAACTTTTTTATCTATAACTTGAGGCAGGTTATAGACATGAAGCAGGCCTTGAGAAAGCTAGCAGGGAAGGTTGAATAGCATAACTCCTGTATGATGCAGCTCTGCATTTACCCAATAAGAACTCTGAGATAGCTACTATGCAATCAGAACTGTACTCAGTGAAAACAGTGTAGAGATATCAACCACTGCTCCTAAATCCAAAATTAACCACAGTTCAGGAATGGAAAGGTGACAGCATCAATGGGAGGTTATTGCATTTCTGGTAAAAATAAATCGGGGCCCTCCCTGTGGCCCAGCGGGTTAAAGCACAACACGAAGAAGCTTAAGCCACTTCTACATGAGTTTGATCCCTGCCTGCCCTGGAGGTGACCACATGGCGCGGCAGACCTCTCCTGACCCGCCCGCTGCTCCCCTCAGCAGTGTACTTCGTCGATCTGCCTGTTCTGCACCCCACTCTGTCTCTGGTGAATCCTCTCACCCTCCGCATCTCTGGCCTGTACCCCAGTTCTGTACGAATAAATCTTTAAAAAAAAAAATCAAATGAGATTTGGCTATTGAAGTCTCTTTAACTGTCTACATAGCTCCCTTCATTTTCCTTTGCCTCTGGCTCATGTATGTTGCACACATAACCAGTGGAAAGCAATAGATGTTCTGATGCAGAGCAAGAAAAGTCTGCTGTAACCATATTTGTGGAATTTTACCTGTAAGATTCTGTTAGTCTTGTGGGTCAACTCACATGGAACATCAGTGAATCAATGTTTTATCGGGTGAGTTACAATCTTATGCATAAACCCCTTGGTCTGGTGAGTGGATTGTCTTGTTCCCTTCCAGACACCTCACAATCTCTCCAAAGCTGTTCATGTTTTTCAGAGGAGGCAGCTGCACTGGCACAGTAATAAAATCCTAAGCTGAGCCCTCCCTGGTGGTACAATGAGTTAAAACACAGCACTATGAGGTTGCCTCAGCACAACTTCAATCCCTGGCCAGGGAGCTGACCCACATGGCACAGCAGACCTCTCCTGTCTCACCCGCTGCTCCCCTCAGCAGTGTACTTCCTGGATCTGCCTGTTCTGCTCCCCAATCTGTCTCTGGTGAATCCTCTTACCACCTCTGGCCTGTGCCCCAGTTCTATATGCATAAATAAATAAAATCTTGAAAAAAAAAAAACCTAAGCCTCTTAGTGAAAGAACCTCAGTTACAATTCAGCTGTACAAACTGTATGACTATGATAAAATCATCAAATCTCTCCATGATTCCTTTGCTCGTCTATAAAAGAGACACAATAAATCATCTCACCATAAAAAATCTCACCATGTGCTTGTGGGTAGCAAATGGAAAAATTCCAAATCTACTGGTTTGTGGCTTTAAATAACTCACTTTAACATCTCTGAGCTTCTGTTTTCCCTAGCTCTAAAATTGTTCTGCATGGGCCAGAACCTCAGATCCACCACTTTCCAGCTCAATCTTCAGCAAGTACATGAGCCTCTCTGTGCCTTGGTTTCTCATATGCTAGGACTCCATGACACCCAGAGTTCTCAGACATGTTGTTCATCTTTTTAGTATTTGAAATACTGTCTTCATATAGCAAACACTCAATAAATTGTATGATTATCACAAGATTATATGACACTGTGTCTGTTGTTCCTTCCAAAATAACATTCTAAGTTGTATGATGGAATGGGACATAGTCATACATTCTCCTACTGAGTTCAGTCCAAATGTTTCCTGAAATTCACTATAAATTATTCTCCCTGTAGGACCCAGAAGTGTTGCCCATTTTCTTAGCCACCCCAGTGGGTCTTTCCAAAGGGTCCCCAGTAACAAAATGAGTCTCCTTCCTCCATCCCCTTCTCTTAACTCACCTTTATTCTTATAACTTTCAATTTCATTATCCAACAAAAGCTCCATGAAGAATGTTGTCCAGAACTTCTAATTTCAGAAATAAAAACTATAAACTATGGTCACAGGATGTGAAAAAGGCAATTAAAGAAAAGTTGTGCCAGGGGAGAATCTAACTTTACCCAGGATGAACTAAGGGAACTTGGTGGGGAAAGTGTCAGGTAAGTGTGATGACCTTCCTTCCTTGGGAGGATAAGAGAAGAGGTGGCAGAAGATTGAATGACCTTTAGAGTGGGCACTCCCCCCATTTCCATGCCCGCTAGAGGAGGGGCACGAAGAACAGTGCTCTTGGATCACTGGCTCAGACCTGTCACTGTAAAGTAAAGTGTTCCTGACACTGCAGGGCCTCAGGGTCCTATGGCCCAGTGGGGACAGCTGAGCGTTGGACATTTGCCCCATCTTGTCTCTAACTAGCAGAGCTGGGACTGGGCCTCAGGGGACACCCCATGTGAAAAGCCCACAGCTCCTCCCACCGCCTGTCCTGAGAACAGACTGCACATCTCTCAGCTGTGCTGCTGCTACAGGACGGGAGAAAACTGAGAGTCCACCAAATCCTCTTGGTGGCAACCAAACAGGGGAGGTGAACCCAACACTTGGTGATGGTGGCAGGATCTGAAGATGGTCAGGATTTCCAGGTAAGATATGAGGGAGTAGAGATGGGAGACACTGCACACACACACACACACACACACACACGCATACACACACCTTTTCCCTATTCCTCCTGTCCTGTCTCACTCACGGCCAAATACAACCTGCTCTATTAGCCACCATGTGGATATGAGAAGAGCCTCGGATGCTAGCTCATGAATTTCTCGAGAGCCCAGCCTAATGTCAGTTCAGGGCAGTCATTCCCAAATGGCCTGGCAGTGGCCAAGAACTGCCGTAGGTGCTGACCCAGTGTGTGTGAGCGCAATTCACCCTTGGCCCACTCCACCATGCGTGGCTTTCAGAATCGTTCCATGCTGCCTCCTACAGCTGACAGTTCAACAAGCCCTATTTCATCTTTGAACCTGAATATCAGAATGATTGGGATTGAGGTTCTGAGAAGTTACATCCTTTGATCAAGGTGGTAACACTGGGACTCGAACTTGGGTCTACATAAGTCAAAAAAGCTGTGTTCTCAGCAGTTAGAGCAATTCTGATCTAATGGATCTAGCAGATCTGTCATCTCCGATGACAATGATATAGACAACAGTGCAGCTTACAGCTCTGAATCTGAAACTTCACAATTGTCCAAGGCCAGCTTTTCACCAAGTGACAAGACGAAGTCCAGTCTTCCCGGGACAAAGGCAGTGTCCTGGAAATGGAACTTTTAGTTTCAAAAGGCAGAAAATCCTAGACAGACCCTGAGGAACAGCTGGCCACTCCAGAAAGCACCCTCACTTTGTTATTTCCAGGAAGAGAAAGGCTGACTATGAGGATAAGCTAATATTGGATGACATTTTTATGATCCAATCATTGTTCTAGTTCCAAACTATCCTACCTCAATTTATCATCCTAAAAATGTCATGAACAGTTGTTATCCTTTTTAAGCAGGTGCATAAACTGAGGCCAGAAAAACTGGCCAGACGTGTTCAAACATGGTCCACAGCGACTGGTGGCCAAATGAAGGTGGTAGGGCACAGAGGACCCTAATTTGTCACCGCATCAGTTTAATATCAGTCCAGACCAGCCCGTTGGCATACTCTGGCCTCTCTGCCATCCCAAAGCACAAGCTAAATATCTCTCATTTTGGATTTTATGCATCATAGGTCCTGGAAGGAAAAGAACCCTTTAACAAGTTGTGGCATTTTGATACCGTCAGCAGTCCTGTATGGGAGGTTTATGTCCACATCAAACAGATAAAGAAAATGAGGCTCACAGTAAGTAAATAATCTACCCAAAATATGCACTGAGGTCTAGAGGAGATCTGGGGTTCCATCATTTTCTGTCAGGACTCTTGGGTTCCATTTTATCTACCACTCTTAACCCTCATACATGATCAGGATGTATTGAACTGTGTCTAAAAAAATGAACATACCATTTTATATGATAACTATACTAAGTAGATACATAGTTGACAGTCTAAAAACTGAAGCTCAGAGGGGATTGGGGATGTGTAGAGAGGACTCACATCTAGTCATAGTGTGTCAAGACCAACTTTTCTAAGGACTAGTAATGTTGATGCTATTATGGTAACGAGAGCAGGACTTATTTGTAAAATACCTTTCAGTGTATACAGTTATCTTATTTGTATTTATTTGACAAAGAGGGAAGACACTGCCATCATACCCAGACTACCTGAATCCCAGTTATTAGTTATTCCTGTTTCTATAAAAAGAGGAAGAGAGAACTTTGTTAGTAATGTCCTAGTAAATGTATTTCCCAAGATATTCAAATTTCATACATCTATGAAATAAATTATTTTCCTATTTTAATGGGGGGAGATGTGGCCTAAGACAGGAATTTCTCCCAGTTTCTCCCCAGTTCAAATGCCTCTAAGAGCCTACAGGAAAAATCACCAGACAACACACAAGTCACCTCCAACAAGACCTGCCAGCATCTCTGACCACAGCGGTCATCTCTACCATGATTCCATGCCTCCCTCCCAGAGACACCAGTGTCTACCTGGGACCACTGCCAAGAACACAGAAAAAAGGAAAAAAAGGCTTTGATTGTTTTACTTTTTGGGTTTTCCTTTTCTTTGAGGCAAGAGTTTCCTCCAGTTACATTAATGGGAATTGGAAACCAAACTACCATCTCTGACTTCCTGCTCCTGGGCTTCTCTGAACACCCCAGACAGCAACCTGTTCTGTTTGTGCTCTTCCTGGGCATGTATTTGGTTACCATGTTGGGGAACCTGCTCATCATCGTGGCCATCGGCTCTGACCAGCACCTCCACACCCCCATGTACTTCTTCCTGGCCAACCTGTCCTTCACGGAGACAAGCTTCAGCTGCACCATTGTCCCCAAGGTGCTGGTCAACATTCAGACGCAGGACCATACCATCTCCTACGCTGGGTGCTTCGTGCAGATGTACTTCTTCATGGCCTTGACCCTGCTGGATGACTTCCTGCTGGCCGTGATGGCCTATGACCGCTACGTGGCCATCTGCCTTCCCCTCCACTACGCCACCATCATGCATCCCCAACGCTGCCTGCTGCTGGTCGCCGCATCCTGGCTCTGTGCCCACCTGCTGGCCTTCTCTCTCACTCTCCTCATGTCTCAGTTCTCCTTCTGTGCCTCCCGCTCCATCCCACACTTCTTCTGTGATGTCCCCCCGCTCCTCAAACTCGCCTGTTCAGACATCCACAATTTTCAGGTAACGATGTTAACTGAAGCCGTCCTCTCAGGCACAATCCCTCTCACCTGTGTCCTGGTGTCCTATGCCCACATCATCTGCACCATCCTCAGGATCCCCTCCACTGGCGGGAAGCACAAAGTCTTCTCTACCTGTGGCTCGCACCTATCAGTCCTCACTCTGTTCTATGGCACAATATTCCTAGTGTACTTCCAGCCCTCATCCTCCTACTCAGCAGACACTGGAGTGGTTGTATCTGTTATATACACGATGGTCACCCCCATGCTGAACCCCTTCATCTACAGTCTGCGGAACAGGGACATGAAGGGGGCTTTGTGGAGACTCTTTGGCTGGGGAAAATGTGCTCTCCATAAAGGGTCCTTTCCAGATTAGAAGCTCAGTTTCCTTGCAACCCCTTTTACCTATGTGTCCCCAGTTTTGGAGACGCTTAATTTAAGGCAGGGTGGATGCTCAGCATCAAAAGCAATTTAACAAGAGCCCTCCCTGTAGTGCAGTGAGTTAAAGCACAGCACTAAGAAGCTATCTGAGCCACTGTAGCAGGAGCTCGACCCCCAGCCCCAGAGGTGACCCATATGGTACATAGACCTCTCCTGACCTGCCGGCTGCTCCCCTTAGCTTGTATTTCAGTGAATCCCTGTGTTCAGCACTCTACTCTGTCTCTGGAGAATCCTCTTTCCCCCACACCTTGGACTGTAACCCAGTTCAGTATGCATAAATAAATAAAACTTTCTTTAAAAAAGCAATATAATGAGTGAAGAAAACATGGCTTGGCAGACAGAAAGAAACCAGCAGGCTCAGGACAGAACTGCAGCCTGGAGAGGGAGGGACCCGTACTCCCCATACGGGACTGGCCATGCCATAGCTGCCCAAGCTGATGCCAACCGGACAGCGGGAACCACCAAAGCAGCACACCAGACAAGACTAGATTAGAGTGGGGACTCAGCCCCTCAGGCCACAACAGGTCCCAGAACTCGAGGGACAGTGACAGGTAATCATCGAAGGGTAAAATGCTCCACTCTCTGACCGTTTCCAAACTCAACTTTCATAAAGATGAAGCTCCAAGTGGAAAAAGACGCACCACGAAGACACAACCAGCGGGGCTTAGTGGGGTTGACAATCCAGGAGAGAAACTGGACTGGCAGCGGAGAACTGCGAGCCCCAAGATGCGCCATTCAGATGAACTCCACAACGAGTAAGTGAACGCTCATTAGTTACTGAGACAAGATCTTGATTCTTTCGTTTCACCTCTGGCTTCCTTCATTTGCATCCTTTACAGAGCAATACATGCTTGCTATGGTAAACTTGTAGAGCATTTTCTTTAAGCAATTGTAATAAAGTAAACATGATAAACAAAGAACAACTGTATACCAGAGACATTTTATGGGGGGTCGAGTGGGGAATGGGCTCAAAACTGAGGTGGGAATAGCACACAGGACTACGGTGACCGCCCACGGGTGACTTGGTGGTGGGAAATCCATGGGCATACTAGCCAAGACAAAAAAAAATGCACAAAATGAAGAAGGATGCATAAATAAATAAATATATTTAAATTAAATAGATGTGTACAGTATGAACAAAAAGGAAATGGAAAAATACTCACTGTGGCCCATTTAAAAACAACCAGTAACTATTTGACATCATTTCCCTCCTGTGCCTTTTAACTGCTCTTTGCCTTTTTTGTCTCCATTGAGAAAAGACTGCAGGTACAAGTCCATGTACATTTTTGCTGAATCTTACAACATGATCTTACATTTCTGTCTTCCTGATATTTGGCTAAGAGGGTAAATATATCAGCCAAATATCAGCAAAGAGTGATCAAGGTTTGTATCAGCTCTCACCATTGCTGCAGGATGGCGGCTTCCTGAGCTCTCACCGTTGCAGACAGCATTAATAGGGGCATGTTTGAAAAAGCATAATTTCAATATTCACAACATGTGACTTGTCTGTTTTAATTTTCAGAAATAGACTATCTAAACAGAACATATTTAGGCTCTTTCTCTATGTTGCCAGGATGTCCAAAGGAGAATGCCCTTTTATTTACATCCTCGCTATATTTTCAAATTCCCACTTCATTCTCATGTTAATATGTTAGCTTTATTTGATTTGATTTTTTTGAAAGGGACAGTTTTCCTGAGCACATGTTCAAGTGTTCTAATTATGTTGTTAATTTTTTTTCATATAACTTTCCCATTAGCAACTGTGAATGTTTGAATTGTACAGGTTTTTCTCTACGAAATACATTCTCCGTCTTATGATAATACCAACTAACACTTCATCTCTCAGTGATGACTTTTATACAAGGAAGTTTTTATAAAGTTTATGATATCAAGACTTTGTAGCTTCTATTGCAGGAGCTATAGTTTGAAAATCCTCCCTAAAAAATCTTTACAAATAAATACTTTAAAAAATTTTTTCCAGTAGAACACATGACCTTTTTTTAAATAATAGCTTATTTTTACATCATTTTGTGCATTTTTCCATCACAGTTGTAATCCCCGTGGGCTTCACATCACCAAATCAACCATGTGTCATCATCATAGTCCAGTGCATTTCTCTCCCCTCACTGTTTTTTATCCCATTCCCCACTCCACCCCCATAAAATGTCTCTGGTATATAGCTGTTCATTGTTGTTACTATTTTCTCACCTGTTCCATTATACTCCTGCTATGAGTGAAACCATCGGTATTTTTCCTTTTCTTTTTGGCTTATTTCACTAAGCATGATATTTCCCATGTTGCTGCAAAAGGCACATGTTTATTTTTTCTTATCTGCTTAGTAATATTCCATTGGAACACATGCCTTTTTAATGTAACCCTGAATTATAACTTTGGAATGAAGTCACATAGATAAAGTTATTCTCATTCAATACATCTCCCTTGTATAACTCATTTCTCTCCATTTTCATTGTACAATTTATATTTGTTTTTTTTTGTTTTTTTTTGTTTTTTTTTAATTTTTAAAGATTTATTTGTGCATACAGAACTGGGGTACAGGCCAGAGGCTCAGGAGCGGTGAGAGGCTTCACCAGAGACAGAGTGGGGAGCAGAACAGGCAGATCAACGAAGTACACTGCTGAGGGGAGCAGCGGGCGGGTCAGGAGAGGTCTGCCGCGCCATGTGGTCGCCTCCGGGGCAGGCGGGAATCGAACTCATGCGGAAGTGGCTTTAGCTTCTCAGTGCTGTGCTTTAACCCGCTGCGCCACCAGGGAGGGCCTATATTTGTTTTTTTAAAGATTGATTTACTTATGCATACAAGAAGTGGGGTACAAGCCAGAGGTGCAGGAGTGAGAAGATTCACCAGAGACAGAGTGGGGAGCAGAACAGGCAGATGCACTGAAACACAGTGCTGACAGCAGGGAGACAGGAGAGGTCTGCTGTGCCATGCTCTGACCACTGCGCCACCAGGGAGGGCTGTACAATTTCTACTTATAACAAATGAAAATGCTGCGTGACTCAGAACAGGCACCCTAGAAAGAATGCTGGGTGCTGTCATGCCCAGTGCACCCTCTGGGCACTGTGAAAGGAGTGTCTTCACATTGAGAGAGTGTGTGACTCTATTCCTGGCTACCTGACACTTTGAAGCATCAATAACAAGTTCACTCAAAAAATGTGAAAATACATAAAGTGGGAAAATAACATAATTGAAATAGCTAAATCATAAAAATATATTGCCAAACAATAGACTTTAAGGCAAAAAAGCACTATTACTTATGTTATGTTATGTTGGGAGAATGAGATCTTTCACTTGCCAGGAAAAAAAGGACAGTTCTACTATTTTTCAATATGGAAAAGACACAAAACAAAAACAATAAGCTGTGGAGAAACTCACTATCATGGGAAACTATATCACCCTTCTAAAGGTAATCATGGATATAGTAGATTCTGAAAATCACGTAAATGTATAAAACACTTGGAAAGCACACTTAATCTAAAGGCAAACTTAACCTAAGGGACTCATGCACATACAGAGAGAAGGTTGTATTCCACACAGGTGCAGAATGAATCTTTTATAAAACCTTAAACAGTATTTGCAAAACTTGCTCAGACACTGAGCCATAAAGCAAACCTCAGTAAGAGTCAAAGGACTAAAATCACAAAGATCACATTCAATAAACTAGAATCATTCCAAATTATAACCCCCCCAGCCCAAACACACACACACACACATATTTGGGAAATTGGGAAACTCAGGAATAACCCAGGAGCCAAATCAGATATCATGAAAACCACTAGAGAATAGAGTCCTCTGGGTGAAAACCATGTAAAACATAATTTACAGGGAATGCTTTCTTTTGTGTACAAATGTAGAAAAGACCGTTATTTTGCAGAAACAGTCTGTGAAATAATAAGCTAAGAACCCACCTTAAGAAGCTATAAAAAAGAACAATTGTAATAAAGTAAAACTGATCATCAATGAACAACTATAAGCCAGGGACATCTACAGGGAAGGAGAGAGGAACAGGATCAAAACTGGAGCGGGAGGAGCGCTCGGGACTGTGGTGATGGCACATGGGTGAAGTGGTGGTGGGAGTCCATGGCAATTACACTGAGATGAAATAATGTACAAAGTGAGGAAAGATGTAAAAATAAATATAAAATATAAAGAAATATAAAAAAAAAAAAAACCACCAAGTTCAATCCAAGCAACATAAAAGAAGGGAAGAAAACAGGAGAGGGAAACAGACAAAAAGGATAAAGCTAAATCCCATTAATCAAGCTAACGAGCATTCTGTGAAATGATAACACGATTCTTTGATAAAATGTGTGGGGAAAACGGACAAATAAACAACAGCGTGAACGGAACCAGTAACGTCCCCTCTGTTCTCAAACAGCACATTGACAATGATGCTGCCTAAGCCCATTTAAAAACCTGGATGAAATAGAGAAGTTTCTAGACAAATGTAACAAATGTAGGTCTCTTGGAGGAGTGAAGGGGCCTGATCCAGACTTTCCAGAACCGGGACCCTGTGTGTGAGATGTTCGTGTTGAGCAGTGCAGGTGGCTACGCGGCCCACAGAGCCCAGCCCGCAGGAGCAGAAAGCCAGAGCAACAGCAGGGACTCCTGCAACGAGGAAACACCCTGCGGGAGCATCTACATGAAGTTCAAAAACAGGTACAAATGGCCCTCCCTGTGGCGCAGAGGGTTAAAGCACTGCACTGAGAAGCTAAAGCCACCTCAGCATGAGTTCGATCCCCGGCTGCCCCGGAGGTGACCACATGGCATGGCAGACCTCTCCTGACCCGCCCGCTGCTCCCCTCAGCAGTGTACTTCGT